AGGGTCCATTCTATGAATCAATAAGGGATCCTCAGCAATAGCAGATATATAAATAGGTGTAACAGCACTTTCCACCACAACTAAAGCCACTCCAACCTGAAATTACATATTTGATGTAACATGTACATTTGTATATACACAATAAAAAGGGCGGAACAACATAGTGTACATGGCTCTCATTTGGTTGGCTATGTGGAGAGAAATATATGTAGCCTATTATATATTCCTGCAAAAGGAAACGTTGTTTCAAGGATTTGAATCAGCTAATTTTACATTATAAAGCAACAAACTTACTATTGCGCCATTGCTCGTCCTTATTAAAAGGCGGCCCACTGTGTGAGGGTCCCAGACCTCCAAATGTGGTGAGGTCTGAGAAGGAAAACTTACACAACTTTACCCCCACGGAGACTATTTCCAGGTTTAAACATATAACCTCTATGTTGCAAGGCAATTTTACTGTTATGCCGAAGCTCACCCTCACATATGTATATACACAATACATAAATAAGTAAATGAATAAATAAATAGTTCTCTCTTGCCATTCAACATGATTTTCATAACCAACATTTAACATATAATGATAACCATAGGAATCCATGGCACCACTAAGCCTTGCCATTTATGGCAAAGCCTTCCCAAGGCTAAGCAACTATGCTTCTACAATCACATTGTTGCCATCTAGTTCATTCAGAACAATTTACTGTTGCTCAACAATATGCCCAAAAAGAATGAAATTTTATAACCAAGGAGGTTGTGAACATACCAATGCCATTCACATCAGCATAGATGTAGATCCAATCATATTAGCTCTGTCACTTCATTTAATCCATGCCCATACACCAGAGCAAGTTCCAGTTATCAACCTGGTTGAAGCTTTTACCATAAACAGCAATCTGTAAAGAACATGAGCATAAACCATTGTAGAGTTAGTTTTCCGAGAACCGGTGCCGGTTAACTATATTCACCAGATCTCAGAGATTTGTCTACATGTGAAGAACCCCAATCTAGCTATTTTTTTATGTTGCCACTTTAATATATTAAGTATTAAACTGAATGGAAAAAGTGAAAATTAGCAATATCTCATATTTGAATCTTGATTGTCCCTTATAGAAGATGCAATTTCTACCATGTGGAAGTGATTACTGATATAAAGTATAGACACATAGGTTTACCAGAACATAAGCATATACTTGTTGAAGAAACAGACAAGAGTCTCAACAAGAAGGAAAAGGAAATTAACACAACAAAGCAAAACATTCATTCTTGCCTATCTTTGACCGGAGTCCTCTTATCTGAAAGACATAAAGAATTATGATAGAAAAGTATAAATGAATAGCCCAAGAAATGAACTTCAAATAATTCACAATAACAAAACAAATTGGTGGTTAATACCTTCTACCACAGTGTTCTAATAGCAGCTTCAAATAATGAGCCATAACGAATGCTGCCAAAAGATGTCGTTAAAGCATACTGTAAAGTTTTCAGTGAGGAATTGGCTGGAATTGATGCAGCATATCTATCACCATGGATACTAACTACAATTCTACAAACACAATTCCAGACACTACGACATGTACAGTATTACAGAGTACAGCACTGGTCCAAAATAAGCTTATAGAGAGGACATGCATGCAAAATAACAATACCAGTGTAGCCAAATAAGACAATTTTACACAAAATGCTGCCATAACCAGTTCTAACAAGAACAAATAGAATGAAGAACAAAACTTGTTGTTTCACCACAAGAAGCCACCAGCGTCCACCATCACAGGTGCTTTAAGCCACAAAACCAGCTGCTCCAAATGACATAAGGTCATCCATAAAAGCACAAGAACCATAAATGCATATGCAACTCTCAGAACCTCGGCTAGATTTTATATCATCTTAACCGCATTTTGCAAAACCAACATTGTAAATGGAAGTATAGAGAAGAAAAGATAACCAGCAGAAATCATGTTAAATACTCAATTAAATAGGCAGATGGCAAAAAGAAGGACATGATGAGACAAAACATTAATAGTTAATAAGAAAAACGACAGCACACAGCTTTGAAATCAAATCTTAGAAAAGACTTAAGATATTAATCTGCCAGTATGCCCGATACTGATATCTACGATGCAAAAAATGTTTAACCGGCATGTAAATAGCTGTTTACTGTAATTTTCATGAAAGAGAGACAAGGTAGAGTTATTGCAATACATCTGGATGATTAATTGTAAGTCTTTGGGTTAAACCCTCTTACAAGGCTAGCATACTCAGACATCCAAATTTATCCTCCGGAAGACTGATATATTGAGAACAAAATTCATTCAGTGGCAAACTTCAATAGCATAAAATGACCTAGGTCCTCACTGTCATGAAATCTGACTCTCAGATAATCCAGGCATCATACACAATTGACATAAGCTTTGACGGTTGACATATTTAGTCTAAAAATCAAGTGAATTTGAAAAGGTTGAGCAAAAGTTGTCAAGAATCAACATCCAAGTTCCAACAATCATATTTCCCTCAAAGTTAAAAATGCTGCAATTCATGTAGAAAAAACATTAAAAGTACCAGCAAGGCGTTGGTATAGTGGTATCCCATTGATTCTCAGATAGACCAAAAGGTAAAATGTTCGAGTTTAGAGAGCGATACTTGTTGAGAGAAACAATCACACACCCCGAAAGTGATAAATTCCTAACCCATAGGTTGAGAGATACCCTTTGTTATACAAAAAAATATTGAAAGTTCAAATTTTACTACAAATATTTAGATTCACTAAGGGATGTGACCTTTCATCAAAGCTTCAATTAAAGCAGAGTATTAACTATTTTTTATTTATTATCTTTACCATGAACATTACCATAATTATAGTTTACACTTCGACTTTAATGCCTAATATATACTCATCTGCTTGGCATATAGAATTTAAAGGAAATGAATGCAAATCTAACCTAAATTGGCAGGTGCACCATTGACTTACAGATCAACCAACATATTCAAAATAGGTTAAGTCTACGGAGAACTAGAGCCACATTCACCCCAAGATCAACAATGAGAGTCACACCTTCATGTTTTAATAAACAATTACAACAAAAGCTAAGCCTATAGAGTTAACCTTCAAAATAACTTTGCTACATCAATTCCATTTGCTCTTCAAGAAAAGACAATTATATGTTCATAAAAACGGTTTTGATTTTATGCGAGTTATCAAGCGCAAAAGAAAAAAAAACATTGTCAGACTCAGTAATAAATCAGCAACAACATCAAACATTATCTTCCTCTCAATAAGCCAAAACATCAAGTAGGGACATGGATGTACCAACAGGTTTCATCCAGACAATCAGCAATAATAAAACATCATCAAATCAAACAGAAAACACATCTATAGGCTAATTTCAGTACCTTACCTATCTATAACAGATACCACATACAAGAACTGCTCCAATAGCAAAAGCAACACCCCAAAATAACTGATGAGCCCAGAAACACAACACACTTATCACAGCAAGACATCTTATAGGATGGAACCCGGACTCCTAACTAAACCCTCTTCCTAACTTGACTGATTGTCTCGATTTCACTGCCTTGGTTGGCCACCATGCCTACTTCTCTCCAGTGCCTCATATCGGTTGTGAGGATGTGCACAGACATCTTCATCATATCGGTTGCATGTGAACCTAACAGCAATAACCAATTGCACCCAAAAACAGTCCCAACTCTGCCGGTTACCAAGTAGAAAAGTCAGTAATCCTCCACCAACCCAGCCTCATTCTCCATGAACCGGTATCCAACTTATCAATATCAAGCCTGTTCTTTTCTCGAACTTATTGAAACCGAGAACCCCTAGAACAAAACCAAAACCAATCAAATGGATCACAAATATTCCTAATCAAAACATGTCGTGCCAACACAGCTGCAATTGATCCTTAGTCATGGACTCATGGCTTCACTGGTACTACCACTTCTCTTATATTGCCCTGCATTCTATCAAAATGAGAGAAATGGTATTCAGAAACAAACAATAACAACACCCAAACCTTTTTTGCCACTAGGAGGGGCCGACTATATGCATCAAATGACACCATAATAACCTATCACAAACCATTTACATCTAAATCATTCTCAAGTGGTTTGTCTTCATTTATTCTTGGTCTCTTTGGCAATTAGCCTAGCATCATTGTTATCTCCAGTAATGGAGAGACAATAATGTTCTTTCATTATACTTCAAAGGATAAATGTGTCATTACAAGTTGAATTTTCTTTTGTTTGTGAAGCACTTGCCTCATTACTGGAGAGAGAGGATCCTTACTACATTGTTATGCACCATGCTTACTAGGTTTATATAGTTCTTTTCCACACATGCGAGGACAATTTGGTCATAATCCTATCATGCCTAGTCTTTCCACACAACATTATGACATTGTTTAACAGAATTGGAGTATCCTCAGATAGATCAAAATAGAGTCTTAGAGAGTAACTGAGGTTATCTGATGAAAAATCAATAAAAGTCATGAAGCAAAAAAATGTGATTCCCCCCACTATACAATGATTAGGCCAGCCAGATAGAACAAAATCAGTGATAATAATGACTTAAAATGGAAATAAAACAAAAGGAAAAGTTTTTGCTTAAAGGGGCATCTCGGGTACCCCAGAGCCCAGATAAACAAAAATCATCAAAAATGATCAAAAAACTGTGCTGGTTCTATTTTATATTATTTGTGGTGTTACACTATATAATAATTGGGGGTAACTATTAACAGTGATATAATCATTAAAAATGAAAATAGAAAATAAAACATGATTGGATAACTCAATTGCTATTTAGAGAGGAGAAAATCAACCGATAACAGAGTTGAAGTTGAGAAATTATTATGTGGTGAGGTTGATTTGTTGCTACAGAGTGAGTGAGAGAGAAAGTGCTTTTTTCAGTTGACTTTGAAAAGTTGCCACGGCCATAATTGTACATGTTTATAGCCTAGTGAACTTGAAGGAACAGCAGTACCAATAAGTGTCACTCCAGAATTAATCCTTCATTTTTTTTTGTTTTAATGTGGTTCTAACGTCTTATTAGTAGTAGACATTATAACTAATAATTATTGACCAAAAAGTATATTAGTTTATTTGTGGATAATCAAAGTCAGTCTCGGCCCAACAGAGTGTTTTCGCCCGTTAGTATTCTTTCCAACCTTTAAGTATTTCATCATTCCACTGGAAATTCCCTTTGCCCCTACCCTACTCAAGCTTGGTAGTTTCCATCGTCTGTCCAGAGTTGAGCTCTGGGATTTGACGGTGAACTTAAAAAGCCATCTAAAGATGCTAGCATACCACGGTTGCTAGCACAGAGTTAGTCGATTCTTATTCCCTGATACCGTCGTTGCTTCTTCTCTGAGGAAAGAAGTTCATGACCAGTAGACCTTCTACCTCAACGCAACATTGCTCCATCAGGCTTTCGCCCATTGTAGAAAATTCCTCACTATTGCACTGTCACTCTCCATTCTCATTCGATCACGACATCAAATAAAATAAAAAAACTCACATTAGATTTAGGGGTAATTAGGCTCGAAATGATGACTTACATCGTGTTAAGATAAGACTCTACCACACACTCCTTCTTTCTCTTGTCCCCATGGAGAAATATAAGTGACTAATACTAAGGCAAAGGGTTGAGAAACTCAACGCCACTATTCTTGAACAACTTGGAGTCAAACCTTTTTTTTTTTTCACACTTTTACGGATACGAAAATAATAAGAAAAATTTGATTCAATTGTCAATAGTTCCTTTCGAAAATAAGATTGACTCTGAATTTAAGCAATAACACATGATTTCAAAAAACCGTATGATTTTCCCGTGGAATTGAACTTAAACCTCGTAGGTGAATGGTTATTAGGTTCTATCAACTAGAGATAAATTTGTCAAGTTCAATCATGGGTGTAATCTCTAACATTTGCAAATAATATCTTCCTTAGGAATGAAGATCTCCAATTCCACTTTTAGTGTTTCATTCATGTACATCCAATTAAAATATGATACTTAATTATTTAATTTTTTATAAAAACAGAAAATATTGGTGATCCTTCCGATTTAACTAATGTTTTTATCGTTTCAGACTCAAAAATCAAATTGTTGTCTCTTATTCGAACTAAGTAGCATTTCCCACAAACCTTTAGAAAAACTAAATATTAGCATTTATCATATTTATAGTCGTTATTAATGAAGCTGTTTTGGTTGGTCCAAGACAATGGGAAAACCGTGAATTGGCCACTGGGTACCCCATCTTTAACAATCCACTTTCATTCCCAGACCCCACGATGATATCCCATAATATCAGTTATATTTTCATACACAGTGTCAAAAATTCTTATATGTACATACTTTTTTTTTCTCTTTCATCATCTTATCATTTATTACTGTATTTAATATCCCCAACACTACCACTTTAGTTGTCCGTGACACAATCACACATTTACGAACTTTACTATATAGCGCCATTCAGCTGGTCCAAATCACATTACAACCTTCTCCAAATGGTAGCAAACATAAAATTGTAAAAAACCCTTCACCCATTGGTAACAAAGTAATAAAAATAAATATAAAAAATAAAAATATTAAATAGAATTAAAATAAGCACGAGCTTCTTCATCTAGTGTTGTCATTGTCTCTACTAGCAGCTATTGGCAGAGAATCCAACGACGTCGTTAGCAAGATCGAAACTGACACGTGTCCCCTGCTGCTGAACGTTCCCAATAATCGACAACGTAGACATCGTTGGCGCGAACGCAAAACAAAAAGTCCCCACCGAATCAACCGGTATCAGGTAATTCTTCGCCGGTAACTGTAACACCTTCCCCTCTGGAAAGTGAAACGACACCGTCGGAACTTCCACGCTCGACTTCGACGACAAGTCGTAGCATGTATCAAACAACGCAACACCATTCACCTTCGTCAACTCACTAGTCCCTCTCACAAACGCGTCACGTAGAGAATCATAAACCTCATCCCGCAACCGCGTAACCGCCGTGCCGGAATCCACAATAATACCTCCGACGCCGGAATCATCCACCTGAAAACTTGAATCCGGAATCGGAAGCATCTCACCGCCAACACTGATTCCCGACAATCCTATGTAATAAAACGTCTCCATTTCCTTGCTCCGCCGTAAAGGCGCAGTAACGGCGCCACGAGGCAACGGCGAGTTGAACTCGAGCGTGGAAGCGGAATCAGAGTCACGATCAACAAGGCAGTAAGAAAACGACGTCGCATTGAGTTGAGCCGGGAAAGAAACCGAACCTCCACCTAAACCAAGCAAACCGGCAGCACCGACGAATAAACCTTCATTAGTGTGTCCACATCCAATAGCAACGTTTTCAACAGAAGCGGAACCTAGAGTAACAGTTTCCGTCGCGAATTCACCTACTGTGTAGGAACCGTCACCGTAAGAAACTTCATAAAGACAAGTTCCGTTACGGCATTCAGAGAGATCCAGTGACTTGCACTGAGGCGCGTCGCAGGTAATCGGCGCGTAAGAAGAAGACGAACTCGGTTCGAAGATTGGATCGGTTTGCTGGTAACATTCAGAGCAAGGTTCGCATTGGATCCAGCTGACGTCACTTCCGGTGTCGAGAACCATGAAGGATGAAATCGGCGGGTTACCGATTCCGACTCGGAGGAAGTACTCACCGCTTCCTTGACTCGTTCCTGAAACAATGGGACCTTGGATTTCGTTAAAGGTAAATGAGTCTTGTTTTTGTGTATCGGTTTGGGAAACGCGCTTTAGGGAGATATCTAACCGAGTTAGTAGTGATTTGACTCGGGCTGAGTCGCGGGCGAGTCGAGAGAGGATTAACGAGTTGTAGTTTATGTGTGAGGGGTTTTGAATGGAAGCTCGAGAATGTAGTTGGAGTGAGAGTGTAGTTAATAGTGGGTTTGAATTGAAAGAAGAACGAAGGTTGTGGTTTAAGTTTAAGGTAAAGATGTTTTGGGTTTTTTTAATGGATGAAGCGACATCGAGGAGTGTCGTTTTGGGGTTATAAGGTGTTGTGCGAGAGTGTGTTAATGTGGAAGAGGATAAGAGAAGGAGATAGAAGAAAAGATGAGTGAAAGGGTCCATTGGTTTTTTTGGGTTGAGAAGATTTGAGAAAGTAGCAAGAAGTTGAGAGGTTTTAAACTATGGGAAGGGGACCAGTGAAAAGAATGGGTGATTCATGTCAAGGTTACCACTGAGTATGGGATGGAGTAAGATAAGATAACGATTATATCAAAAGTTATAAAGAGGGAGAAACTTTGGAAGAGGTGCTTCTGTGTTACATTGAGTTGTGATCTTTATGTGGGGAAACCTTGCCAATTAGAAATGGGATTGTGAAGCATCATCTTTCCATTCTTTCCTTTAAAAATTGTCTTTCTTTAACTAAAGAGTATAGACACATCTTCTATATCTATACTATATATAAACGGACAATGTGTGTAACTTTTAGTATTGTGTAATTTTACTTTTTTGTTTTATTATTGATATTTTTAATTTATACAAAAAGAACCATATAATTATATGTTGGGGATGCTTGAAATATATGTTATTAGATTAGTTCCACATCGCCTAGTATTAGAATAGAGTAACCAATGTTATATATTGAACTCAGGTATCTTGTTGTAATGTGCACCAGATATAAGCACCAAATAGAAACACCCCATGAGTAGTTGGGCCCGTGGGTATTATAGGGTTTGTAATCCTTATTCTATAATAATATATTGGTAGCCACTCAGCGCTCCCGGGTACGTATGCACAATTGGCCGAACCTCATTATCAAATTTTTTGTTAGATGACTCTTAACCATTGTTTCCGCTGCACCAACAATTGGTAGATGACTCTTAACTCAGGTGCTACATAATTGCAAAAGAGGGTGAAGATAGGGACTCAAGTGTTGGATTAGGATCAAGGTGGAGATAGGGACTCAAGTGTTGAGTTTGACCCTGAGACAGGTGCTGACTGACTTTGATGCAGGGTGTAACATGAGCATTGGCTTTGATGCAAGGTGTAACACGAGTATTGGTAGAGATGCAGGGTGTGACATGGGCATTGACTTGGATGCAAGGATGTGACACAGACATTGGTTAGCATTGACGCAAAGTGTGCATTAGGGGTATACTTCTTATTGTAAGGATCCAATTTTCATAACCCGAAAATTCTTTTTAAAACCTTATTCATGAAAGTGAAGTGATTATTTTTTAAAGACATTACCTGAACGTTTTGGAAACTTGAGTGAATACATTTATAAATTACAAGGCGGAAGTATTCCAAATACATTTCAAAAGCATGTCATTGCATTTCCTTTCAAATACATAATTTAAACCATTTCCCTTTAACAAAGAATTATTTTAATTACAAATATTAAATCAACTTCATTATACACTTTAGGAGAAGTTCCATTTTACAAAAGAGTGAAACCACAAGGTTCTCAGATTACAAACGTTTTTCATATAACATGTTAATTACATAAAACACTATTCTATTATGTACTCTTCTCCGCAAGCGTCCAATGCGCTCCTCCACAACCTGAACCCAAATATACAACACATACAAGGAAAGATAGAGGGAGTAGGAACCAACTACGGCGACCATAACGTGTATTTACATGGAGTAATAACATTAAAGTATTAAAACCACACACATCTAACATCAATCATGATAAACACATATCAATCAACATATATTATCCATATTCACCCTATAGTACACATATATCTCATACTATATATGTTATATAGTGTGCATATTTATTCATCACATATTATCTATATTCACCCTATAATACACATATATCTCATAATATATATGTTCTATAGTGTGCGTATTTCTTACATCCAACATACTCATTCATATTCATCATATAATATATATATCTCATAATATATATTCTATAGCATGCATATTTATTTTATTTCAACATACTCACTTCCCATCATTCATATTCACCGATTTTTCCCACAAAGATAATCCTCTACCACATCGGGTATGTCTAGATAATCCTCCATACCACATCGGGCAGGTCTAGTTTATTTTCCATATCACATCAGACAGGTCTAGTTAATTTTCCATACCACATCGGGTAGGTCTAGTTCATTCTCTATACCACATCGGGCAGGTCTAGTTAATTCTCCATACCACATCGGGCAGGTCTAGTTAATTCTCCATACCACATCGGGCAGGTCTAATTATTTCTCCATACCACATCGGGCAGGTCTAGTTAGTTCTCCATACCACACCGGGCAGATCTAGTTCATTCTCCATACCACATCGGGCAGGTCTAGTTAATTCTCCATACCACATCGGGCAGGTCTAGTTATTTCTCCATACCACATCGGGCAGGTCTAGTTATTTCTCCATACCACATCGGGCATGTCTAGTTATTTCTCCATACCACATCGGGTAGGTCTAGTTCATTCTCCATACCACATCGGGCAGGTCTAGTTATTCCCCATACCACATCGAGCATGTCTAGTTAATTCTCCTTACCACATCGGGCAGG